TGTTGGTTGGGCGTATGAGGTCTACCACACCAAAAGGAGCTTCCAGGAATAGACGCCCAGTTCCAGGTGGTTTATAAAAGCTCCCTACTGTACTTTCTTGTACAGTTTATTTTTTTTTAACTGTTGAAAGCCACATTTTTCTTTAGCTGCAGTCTCTTTTTCAGCCTCAAAAGTATACCTGTGTGTTCTTGACCTCACAGACACGGGGTCATGTAGTTTTACGTATGGAGGCTGTAGCTTGCACCAGAAGAATGTGTGGCTGGATACCTGTCTACCAGTTGGAAAAGCACACTTGGCCTTTAGCTGCATCAATGGGCTTGTTTATTTTTTTGTGGATTTTTTGGATTCTACTGTTGTGACAGTTCATCAGCATCGTTCACTGAGGCCCCAAACCATATGATTTCTTTAAAAATCATGATTTTAAAATGTTGGATATTTTTTCCTTCTTTCTTTTGATTTGTGGACCTTTCAGATACTCTTGATGTGCTCTTTTTTAAAAAAAAAATTTTTTTTAAAAAAAGAATAGATGGTTTGGTCCAGATAATGAGATAGAGGGCAACCTTACTTGGGAGAAGTTGAGTTTCTCAAGAAATTGGGGTTTTCTGAAGGTGGAAAAGGGCAGCAGCTATCTCGAGATGAGATAGTGACTGGTGCAGCAGCACCAGATTTGCTGCCCTGTGCGTTGATGGCACACTGGTGACTTTTTGGCAAGCGAGAGGAAGTTCCTTAGACAAAGCAGAGGCAGGGCTGTGTGGGCAAGACCCAGTGAAGTGGTGACTTTGGGGCTGTGTGTCGATGACCATCTCCTGGGGCTCATTAGTGTTAATTGAGGGGCGGAGGGAATTGACAGGTAAGAGCCTGCAGTGCCTCTTAACTTTTTTTTTTCCTCTTTCCTGCTGTATTCGTGCGGGATGGGGATTCTCAGATGCTTCAGCAAGTTCTGTTTGCCACCACGGAGCAGCAGCTTTTGATTACATACCATAAGGCTGAAGACAGCTTGGAAGCTTGTCTCAGGGAACTGATTTATATTTATTTTTTCGTTTGTTTGTTTGTTTCCTTGTTTGATTTAATCCTCCCCACGCTTTCCCCCCACTGGTCCGCAGCTCATTCAAACGCCCCTGCGAGCATCTCATTAACGGCCTTCCTTCGTGAGCATCTTATTAACAGCCTTCCTTCACCAGCTCCTTTTAGCACTGTGTTATTCTAAATTCAGAGGGAG